ATGGTGGATGTATGCTAGCCCTACTCTAGTTATTTGTCAAAACTAAAAATTGTTCCTTTTGCTGTAGAGGCAATGGGGCCAAATCTATGTAGTCCTATATGTACATTACTTATAAATTCTTATGTTAGAAGATGGTCTCATATTTTTTTACAGCTCCAAAATTCTCTTCATTCTCCTTTAGTCCCATCATTTTTAGAGATGAGGAAACATTGCTTTGTTCAAAGAGAGCTAGAACTAGAACATAGGCTAATACTTGCTAACCACGCTACGTGCTAGTGTCAGCCAAATATGGGCATTCATTTCTATCACTTCCAGATTTCAGATCACTGTACTTACTAATACTATATAATACCATTTAAATTGCTTACCTCTTGAAAGTTTATTTTAAAAGGAACATTTTACTACTATAAATGGAAAATTATCACTTCCTAAAAATACAAAGTAACTCTAAAAAGGAGTCCAAATCAAGACGAAGCTATGCTATTAAAATTTAATTTAAACTTTAAATTTAATTCTTATTATTACATTTTTAATTCTTGCTGTTCTTGGTCAGAAATGTGTCAAAACGGTGTTTTCCTATTTGATGGCAGTACCTTAATTGTCTAATAAGAAAGGCACAGTTAAAGCTTCTAATTAAGCTTTGCTTAGCGTTTTGTTATAATAGGATGCTTCTTTATGGGGGAAATAAGAAGGTATGAATTCTTGTTCATATTAAAGTATGATTTAACACAGATCAGAAGGTCTTGTTAGATGGAACCAAAATTGTTCTTTAGTTAATTTGAATTAATTCATTTTAAAACTCTTAAATTTTTACACTGAAGATTTTAGTTAGCTTTATATTGTTTCTTTTTCCAAATGAGAGATATGATCAGAATAGTTTATTTTACTGAAATAAAACATTTCTCTGGGGAGAAATTCATCTGGGGAGATGCAAGGAGTTTATAGTGTATCTGAATGGAGGAGATGTATGTTTTATTTAAATAGTTCTTAAGCATGGGGGTACCTGGTTGAGTCAGTTTGTTGCACGTCCACCTCGGCTCAGGCCATGATCTCACGGTTCGTGGGTTCAAGGCCTGAGTCAGGTTCTGCACTAACTTCTCAAAGCCTGGAGCCTGCTTCAGATTCTATGTCTCCCTCTCTCTCTGCCCCTCCCCTCTTTGTCTCTCAAAAATAAATAAACATTTTAAAAAAGAAATAGTTCTTAAGCATGTTTTATTTCTTTAAAATAATTTAGTGTTTTTCAAATTTACTAATAAAAATTAGTGTGTTTATCTGAATTGTTGGTCTAAATGTGTATTTCAGTTACAAGAGATAAAAGAGGGTGAAAATGGCTAAGCCTTTTCCTTTTGCTTGTTCTCATTCATTGGGCTACAAATGTTGTCTGTGTTGTCTTCTCTCTGAAAGTGCTGCTATAGAAGCTGTATTTCACTGTACTGTAGAAAGGCATTTTTTTTTTCATGAGTTTCCTATGAAAACTGTTGGTGGATGTAAAAAACCAGGAGACTTTCATGGGTTAGCTAGTAAGAGTTTTGTTGTAAAACCTTTGTAACAGGTCTAACAAGAAGACCATAAAGAGAATAGATGTAGGAATACCTGATCCCATTAAACTGCTGATAAAGTAGACAGGCTAGTATTATGAGGATTGTTTATAGTAGCAGTTTTTGTGGCTTATCAGAAGTGTTAGTGTTGTTTTCCATATGTGTGTCAAATTTATATTTTTTAATAAGGCTTTTTTTCTCTTTTCTTTCTTTCTTTTTTTTTTTTTTAATATATGAAATTTATTGTCAAATTGGTTTCCATACAACACCCAGTGTCTTTTTTTTTTTTTAAAGAGTGAGAGCACTTGTGAGCCAGGGAGAGGGGTGGGAGGTGAGGGGAGAGAATCTTAAGGAGGTTCCATGCTTAGCAGAGCCTGATGTAGGGTCTCAATCCCATGACCCTGAGCTGAAATCAGGAGTCAGATGATCACCTGATTGACTCACCCAGATGCCCCTTAAATTAAGCTTTTTAATTTGAGGTCATTGCGGATTCCTATGCAGCCAGAAGAAATAATACAGAGATTTTGTATACCCTTTACACAATTTTCCCCAATGATAATATCTTGCAAAACTATAGTAAAATATCACAACCAGAATATTGACACTGGTAAAGATACAGAACATGTCCATTCACCACAGGGGTCCTTCCTATTGTCCTTTTGTAGCCACACCTACTTCCCTTTTACTCCCACCCCCTCCTTAACTCCTAGCAAGAATTTATCTGTTAACCATTTCTATAGTTCTGTCATGTCAAGAATGTTACATAAATAAAATCATTTGTGTAACCCATTGAGGTTGGCTTTTTTTACTCAGTATCATTCTCTAGAGATTCATCCATGTTATTTCATATACCAGTAGTTTGTTCCTTTTTATTGCTGGGTACTATTTGACAGCATAGATGTATGACAGTTTAATCATTCACTCAGTAAAGAATATCTGGATTGGTCCCAGGTTTTGGCTATTATGAATAAGGTTGCTATAAAGATTCATGTACAGGTTTTGTAACATAAGTCTTCATTTCTCTAGGATAAATGTCCAGGTGTGCCATATATAATTGTCTTAAATATTTCCTTTACATACATTTAGAACCACATCAGATGGTGTTAATTTTTGCTATAACTTTCAGACATAATGTAGAAATTCAAGGAAAGGAAAGCGTATTGTATTTACCCATACTTTTACTTACCATGTTGTTTCTTCTTTTCTGATGTTCTAAGGTTCTTCTCTTTTATCATTTCTCTTCTTAGAGAATTTACTCTAGCCATTCTATTAGAGTAGATCTGTTGGTGACAAATTTTCCCTCACCTGAGACTGTCTTGATTTCTCCTCCATTTTTGCTGGGTATAAGATTCTGAGTTGACAGTTGTTTTAGCACCTGAAAAAAATAAGCTACTTTCTTATGGCTTCCATAGTTTCTGGTAAGAAATCCACTGTCATTCTAATTGCTCTTCCCCCCTCCCCCTCGCCCCCTAAGTAAGATGTAATTTCTCTTTTCTTTCTGATTGCTTTCAAGATTTTCTTTGCCTTTAGTTTCAGAAGTTTAATTATGATGTATCTTGGAGTAGATTTTTTCAGGTTTATGCTGTGTGAGATTTGTTTAGCTTCTTGAATATGTGTTCCTCCTTCCAAATTTGTTAAGTTTTTGGCCATTATATTTTTGAATACTTTTTTTAGCTCCATTCTTTCTCCTCTCTTTCTGGGTTCCAGTGATACAGACATTAGATCTTTTGCTGTGGTCCCACAAATCTATGAGGCTCTGCTCTTCCTTTTTCTTTCTTTCTCTTTCTTTCTTTCTTTCTTTCTTTCTTTCTTTCTCTCTTTTCTTCTTCTCCTTTCTTCTTCTCTCTTCTTTCTTATTCTTCGCCTATTTTCTCTCTTAAGATTAGGTAATTTCTATCTTCTGGTTCACTGATTCTTTATTATGTCCCTTCTATTCTGCTGGTGAGCCCATACTAAAAAGTGAGCTTTTAAATCTTGTTTGTTTGTTTTTTTTGTCAAGACTTTCTATTTTTTGTCCCATGTATGTTTGTGATTGCTTACTAAACCATTTTTATCATAGTTGGTTTAAAATCTTTGTCAGGTAATTCTGACATCTCTGTCATCTCAGCTTTGATATTTATTGATTATTCTTTTTGCATTGTCTTAAAAATCTTTCTAGTTCTTACTATGATGAATGGTTTTCTGTTGAAACCTAGACGTTTTGTCATTATGTTCTGAGACTCTGGATGTTATTTAAATCTGCTTCCACTGTCTTTTTCTGACACTGCTTTGGCAGGGGAATAGGGACTGCCTCCTTATTACTTCCAGGTAGACCTAGAACTCCAGGTCCCATACTCAGCCTTCATTGACACCCAAGGGAAGGAGATCCTTGTTACTGTCAGATGAGGGTGGAAGTCCAGGCTCCCCATATGGTCTCCACTGACATAGCTAGAGTAGGGGTGAGGACATGTTACCAACCAGGAGGGTGGAAGTCCTGACTCCCTACTTGGCTGCCCTTACAAATACCTTGGTTGTCAGGGGCAAGGGACTCTTCATTATGGCCTTCTGAGGTGGAAGTCAAGGCTCCCCATTTGGCTCTTGCTTGTGTGGGCAGTGGTAGGGCCAGTGATTTCTGTGGTGGTTGGCTGCAGTAGACTAGCTATTGTCAAAAGTTACCTGTCTTGCTAAGGCTGCCCCTTTCTCCTTCCTTTAACTAGAGTGAACAAGCTTTGGAGGTGGCTTTTTTTTTGTCTCTGCCAATTGACATTTCCAGATTGCTGGATTCTCTTCAGCTCTAAGTCTGGGATATATTAAGCAAAAAGAAAACCCAGAGAACTCAGCACTTTGTCGTTCCTTGTGCCCCAAGGTCCCTAGCTGGTCACCTTCTCTACTTTTCAGAGTCTTCCTATATTTTATATATAATATCCAGAGTTTTTAGTTGTAGTTAGTGCAAATAATAGGGAAAAATACTCCTACTCTATCTTCCTAGAAGTGGAAATTTCCAAATTTACATTTTTAAACTATTTAAACAGTTGGACCAAATATATAACCACTCTTCGGAAAAATGTCACACACCTTCTATATAATGTGATATATTTTGCATAATATTGTACTCACAAGGACTGCTAGAAAATAACATCTTTAATTTTTTTTAATGTTTACTTATTTTTGAAAGAGAGGCAGAGTGTGAGCAGAGGAGGGACAGAGAGAGAGACAGACAGACAGAATCTGAAGCAGGCTTCAAGCTCTGAGCTGTCAGCATAGAGTCCCATAAGGGACTTGAACCCATGAACCGTGAGATCATGATCTGAGCCAAAGTTGGATGCTTACCCAGCTGAGCCACCCAGGTGTCCCAACATCTTTATTTTAACTGAAATTCATTGTTCATATTATTAATGAAAACTTTTCTCTCTAGGAGATAATGCTAAAGGTGTCCAAGGCTCCTGACCAGTGAACAAAGATTTGAGAAAGACAGCCAAGCTCATGTTTTCTCCTGATCAAGAAAATCATCCATCCAAAGCACCAGTAAAATATGGTGAACTCATTGTCTTAGGGTAAGTTTTCCCCATCTGATGACACATAAAACTGAATAATAGGTAGTAATTTTGGCATCTAAATCAAACCTTTTTAGAATGTATTTCCTACCTATTTCCGAAAACAATTTAGAGCTACAAGGTAATATTATCTCAAAATAATGTTGATAATATTAAATCAAGAAACTCTTTCAATTCTCATTTTTATGCCATCTCTTATAAGTGCTCTAATATGCATAAATTTTGCCTCACCCTCACCCCCAGAAAGCACAAATCCTCTTAAGATAAAATAATGTATTTATCTAAAGTCATATAGTCATTACATTTGTCTTCCCTATCCTATCTTTTAGAAAAGTTTGCCTCAGCTGTCTTTACCAAAATCCCTTCCCCCCTTGAGGTCATTTCACATAGGTTAGCATTTATTTGTTACTTTATACCTCTGAGGAAGTTGTTGCTTTGGGCTTATGGCCCTGTGCTGCTTATGATAGGGTTGTATAGACATAATGATACGATGACTTTGAAGGCCAGGATCTCACTACTTATTTGCTTCCTAAGTATTCTCATCCATTTACATAAACACAGTCTAAAGATTGAGGAACAAATGATTCCATTATTTCAATTTATTCAGTCTAAACTTGCATTAATCAAAACAGAGACACAATACTAGTCTACTAGCTAGAAATCTCAGAAACTAGAAATTGCAAAATTTACTTTCCCTTTCTCTTCTGTCTAGAAAACAGCTCTCTGTACATCACAACATGCTTTAGAATCAGGTTGGTACAAGTTCTTGTTTAAGTGAGAATGTATCCATTGTTTCAGATGAGAGAGTAAAAGAAACTAGACAGATCATATGGAGTTAATGACCTTGACTGGAAATCAGGAATGCTACATTCCAGTACCTGTTCCAACATTGCTATTATATATGACCTTGGGCAAGTTACTTAACCATTCTAGGCGTTAGGTTGCTCTTCGGTAAAATGACAGACAAGATCATCTAAGACCCTTTGAGACCTAAAAATAAAAACAACTTAAAAGATTAGAAACTTATGTAGTAACTACAATATTATAATTTCAAATCACATAGATCTTAATGTATTAATAACAAACAGCTTTTAAGTACCAAAAAATATTCCAGATTAAATTCTTCTGCCAGGAAGTTTGAGTCCTTTGAAGACTAGAATTGATTTTTTTTTTTTTTTTTTTAATGTGCATAAACACAAGCAGTAGAGGGGCAGAGTGAGAGGGAGAGAGAAAATCCCAGGCAGCGATTCAACTCCCAGGAGTTGGATACTCAACTGACTGAGCCACCCAGGCATCCCTGAAGACTAGAATTTAAAATTGAGTATATGGTTTAAACTGCCTTTCTTAGCCCAGCAGTTTCTCATTTAACCCTCAGTTAGTGGTTGTCTCTGCATTGGCACTCTTGGTATCTTAAAATACAAATAATACTTTTCAGCCCCCTAGGAGAAATAAAGCTGGATATGGTTGTCAGTTTGGTGTTGTCACTACTTAGAAAAGAGCTTTGAGCGATGGTAACTCAATGAGGGAGGGGAGCTTATTCCCTGAAGAGAAACAAGTCATGCAACTTGGCAGACAGAAGGGTCAGGTACCCACAGTGGGTCTGGTGGCAACACACATCCTGGAATGAGTAGTGTATTAACTAAGGGGCACTGCTCTGAACTCTGATTAGCAAGGACTTTCTCCAACAGAAATCAGTGTGTTTAGTTTTGTGTAAAGAGTTAGTATAATTTCTGTATGTGGCAGTGTAAGTTTCTTCCTCTTCCTTCTCAGCCACTAATGTAGGCCATTTTGCAATTATATTCTCCTTCAACCCCAAAACTGGCCCTAGTCCCTGCCTCATTTTCCCTCAGATTGACCAACTATATATGAGAGACTAGCAAACCAAAGGTTTTGTCAGAGGGCATGGGACAGTGAATGAGGAGATTATTATTAAGGCACTGTTCGTGCCATAATGAAGCAATAAAGAATGAAAAAAGCATGACAAACACCTGGATTCAAATCCTAGTTTTTCCATTATCACTTGTGTGACCTTCAGAAAATGGCTTAATTTCTCTGAGCCTCTAAGGAATCTTATTCCTCTGAGGAATAACTTAATTCCTAACCTGTAAAGGTTGATTGATGCCAATCTCAAGAGTTTCTATGAGGATAGATTAAATGAGATGTTATGTGGTAAAGAACACAATAGTGCCTAATACATAGTAAACACCCAGTGTTTTGGTGTGAACTTCTTTCCTATTCAGTCCTCACTTACTTGCTTATTTTCAAGACATATATATGTTATCATGGAGAAATGATTACGAGATCTGAACAACAAAAGTATATTTAATCACTACTTATCAGGCATCTCCTTTGGACAGGTTTTGCCAATGTGTATGTGTGCATTCAAGTCACTGAGACTTATCAAACAAATCTAAAAACTCTCAAAAGTTAAGCTATTTAAATGACAATTAAAGGAGATTCTGTTTTAGACAATTCATACTGGACTTTTTTAAAGGTTGTATTAGCACATGCAAACATTTACCTTTAAAAGATACAGAATGAGTCCTAAGGAATCAGATATGCCATTAATCAGCTCTTGATTATCTTGAATAAAAGAGGGAAGAAAAATACATATAACTTAAGACTATTTATAATCCAAAAAATACTTCTTTGTGACTTGGAATGTAACCAAAATCTCATTTTGTTTCATACTCGTAGACAGCTGGTCTGGGGATCAGCAGTGACTAAATGGAATTTGAGATACTTACAATGTGCTAATAAATGATTAACTGGGGATTGATTCTTATTGTAAGGCAAAAGTAAAGCATTTAATTTAAAATTGTGTGGTTCTTAAAAGAGATCACCTAGACTTTTTCCCTCCACCAGGTATAATGGATCTCTCCCAAACGGCGATAGAGGAAGAAGGAAAAGTAGGTTTGCTTTGTTTAAAAGACCTAAGGCAAATGGGGTGAAGCCCAGCACTGTGCATATTGCTTGTACTCCTCAGGCTGCAAAGGTAAAAAACAAACAAACACAGATTAAAATAAATCTGTTAACTTGGAGAAATTGAAAGACATGTACATGTTGTTTATATTCTCTAGCATTCACTTCACATTCTGTACCAGAAGTTTCCTTTTGTTTGGATGGGAGAAGACTCTTTGGAGACATAATATTTGGAGGGCTGCCGTATGGAAGGGCATCAGACTTTTTTTTTTTAAGTGACACACCAGGATCAGTGGGTGGAAATTAGAAGGAAACATTCCCTTTTCTTATTAAAAAAAAAAAAAAAAAAAAAAAAAAAAAAAAAAAAAAAAAAAAAAAAGGTTTGGGCCAGGGCTTCCACTATTACCAAAGGAGGTCTTGCCTGGGCTGGGCAAGGAATGTAGTATATAATAAGCATACTCAGGTTCTAGAAGCATAGTTTGGATGAGGTGATTTTTCTAAAGTAAGGGTCTTTATCAGAGATTCTGTGTACGCTCATATGTTTTGTTTGCTCATTTTATGACCCTCATAGCTTTTTTTTGCTTTTTTTTTTTTATTTTTTTATTTTTAGCACTAGCAGGACAAAGGGGCAGAGGTCAGGGGTGGGAGAGAGAGAGAAAATCTTAAGCAAGCTCCATGTTCAGAGTGGAGCCTGATACGGGGCTTGATCCCATGACCCTGGTGACCATGGTGACCATGATTTCGTGACCTCAGCCAAAATCAAGAGTCTCCTGACATACCCAGGTGCCTCTGACCATCATAGCTTTTAATATAGTGCCTTGAACAAAGTAGACCTCAGTAATTATTAAAATGAATCAAAGCTGTAAAAGCAAATACCCAGCTGTATCTACAGTTTAACTTCTCAGTCTCCTCACATATTTAATGCTCTTAGCTCCTTTTTCTTTCCTTATCCAAATCTCCAGAACTGGGCCCTCATTTCAGAACACTTGGGCTTTTCCTGGAGTGATAGACAATTAGGGGGAATTTCAAATCTTTACATTTCTATGAATTCTTCTACTTCCAATTTTGTAACACAAACTGTATTTGATATCGTGTTGAATGAATAAAAATTACAAAGTGTTTCTGAGCTTCTGGAAATACCTGTGTTTTTAGCTAAGCAGCCCCAGGATGTGCATCAGTATTATACCATCTGAGGCATATCTTTATCAGCTAAATAAATGAGAGAGAAATTGACATGTGATGACTTGTTTTAGGTCATAACTCCAGTCCTGAAGTTAATTGGATTTGTTTGTGTCCAGTGTAGTGTCTAGAACAGTCCTCTTGCCTTGACGAGGCCTTCTCTATTACTGTTTGAGACCCAGTAAATGTAGAAAAGGGACCATTTCTTTTAAGTGTCTCTTTTTGCAGAGAAGGGATGTGCTAAGCAGGTAGTGAAAGTGAACGGCTAATTGATCCAACCTGAGGAACTTTATTCCAGAATTGCCTCTGCAGGAGTGCTATTGCATTTTGGGTGTGCCATTTCTATGCAGGATTGTCCTGTATGTTGCAGGACATTTAATATTCTTGTCCCAACCACTAATGCCATTTAAGCCTTCAAATCATTGTGACAGCCAAAATATGTACCTACATATTTCCAAGTGCCCCTTACACAGCTAATACTATCTGTGGTTGAGAACCACTATCATAGGGAAAATATTTCTGATCCCACTTTTAAAATACCCTATTCTGGCAGTCATCTAGGATATGATTAAACCCTGCTTTTCAGTCCAGTGAGAACTTAACTTGACATAATTCTTATTCTTAATCTAAGAGTAGGTTTAATAGCTAAAAAAAAAAGCCAGGGATTACAGTCTCAATGTACACAAAACCCTGTGTTTTCAAATCTCTTTAGCCATTAAGAATTCACTTCTAAGGTTCTGGGCAACTATTTGATTGAAAAATCATTGGTTTGTGCTGAATTAAAGTAATTCTAGGTTTTAAAGCCTGTAAAACGATTATATAATGTTTATTTTTAAAATGTTAACAACGTGCATGGGAATGGATCTACAGTGCATTTAATGAGGTTGGATACCTCTGTGAAGAGAGGAGAGTAAGAAGAACATGTAAGCAGCATTGATATTACCTGTTGAATTTAATTTCTTTTAAGAAATCAGAAGTAAAAGTGGCATTATTATGCTTTGATAGAGCTGGGTAGTTGGTACCCGGGTGTTTTGTTTATTCTCTTTAAATATTTGAAAATTTCACAATCTTAATTAATTTTAAAGCTACTGTTTTAGGGCTTTATCTATTACAGATTACCTACAAATTGAAACCAAGTAAAGATTTATGATACCAAAGTTCTAGTTAAGAAACATTTTTAAATTTAGCTTCTTTGCTGTGTGTAATCATTCTTTTCTGTTTTCCTTTTATGCAGTCTGTTTCCACTTCCTTTGTGTAGGTTTTCCCCCTTTCTGATATTATCTTCAACTCATATACATAGAAAACGCCTGAAAAGAAAACCAAAAAGTTCTTTTTAGCAATGTTTTTAGTTTGGGATAAGTCAGAAGTACAGTCGTAAGCATTATGTCCATTTCCTTTGGTAATGTTTAATCATTCTATGAATTTTTCCATATTTGGCCCAGCGTATGGCAAATATTTGTCATCTATAGAGCCACGGAATGGTTAAAACCAGTTAACTCTGCTTGTGGTAACTTAATATAACTCTTTGAGTTACTTTAAAAATAATTTTCTTCATTATCATGAAAAATACTGTATTTTCTCCTTATTAGAACAGTATTCAGTACTGTTTTCAGTTTCTACATGGGACTTGATTTTGATTATTTTATCATTTAAAATATTTGGAAGGGAGATCCATATTTTATAGTGTTTTTATACAATGAAATTATGTTCTTACTCTATAACATCTTCAGATTATTTTTACACCCCACTCGACCCAAGAAGCTACTGTCACAGCTGAGGTTATGGAAGAGTTATTTTCTCCCTTAAATTTTAGGAGAAAATATGTCAAGTATGTAACACATTACTTTTCTTTTTAAAATTTGATTTGATTACCCTACCAGCTAATTTTTGCTATTAATCTTTTCTTTCTTAGGCAATAAGCAACAAGGACCAGCACAGCATATCGTATACCTTATCTCGGGCCCAGACAGTAGTGGTTGAATATACTCATGACAGCAACACTGATATGTTTCAGGTATTATGACATCTGAATTTTTTTTTTTCCTTAAAACAAAAAAGTTAAAAACCTATTGTCAGTGACTTTTCCTGTGTTCAGATTAATGATTAGTATATTTTAACCACGTAGTTCATTAAAATATATTTTGATTTCTAAATCTCATATATAGAAGTCAGCATAGCATGGTTAAGAAATGAGCTCTGAAGTCAGAATTCCTAATAAACATTACTTAGCCACTCTATGCCTCAGTTTCCTACTATGAAGTGCAGATAATAGAGCTTCCCTCATAATGACATTTAGGAGGCTTAAATGTGTTAGTACATGTGAAGTGCTCAAAGCTCTGCCAGGTGGCTGGTAAACACTTAGCTATTAATAATAGTAGTTATAATAATAGTTCAGTTAGCTATTATCCCAAAAAAGGAACCAAGAAATATTCTGCACATATTTATGACCTTTTTTGCCACTATTTCCCACTTTCCTCTCAAGGCAACAAAATGTATGGGCAGTCTGTAACTGTCCACATCATGTATGTGTCAGGCTTGTTTTCCAGCACATATTTGCTCCAAGCTACTACTGATGCAGTAAAAGGTTTTTTTCTCTCATTTTTGTACCAGTCCAGTGCTGATTGGTACATTGGTAAACTTGATATATGATAGAACAGTCAAACCAAAAGATGAAAACTAAAATCATGGTCTTCTCCTTTATTTGGTTTTGTAAAGCCCTGGGTTTTTTTGGAAACAAATAGGACATTACTAGTACCTGATAATGTTGCTCTTATAATTACTGTCCCAGTGACTTTGCAGTTTTTCTTTATTTACAAGATTGAATGTGGAAAGGCCTAGGATGTCTTTAATTATAACCAGTAACAAAATATTTCTCTGAAGTCACTCACTGCCCTTCTAATGGAATACTGAATTTTCTAGAATAGTGTCTCTGTAGTTAATATTAGAATATGGTTGTATGTTTATGTCTTTCTTGCTTTTCCCAAAAAAATTTAAAATAAATAACACCCTTAATGAAGATGAAGGTTGGGATCTTAATGAGAACAAGCTTTAGGATGATTTCCACATTTTTTTTCACTGATAGCCAATTAAAATGAATGTGCCTAATTAACTTTTTTAAGAATCAAGATGCTATCTAGATGTTTGACCCCAGAATTTTAGTTTTAGATAATACCTTACATTTATTTGTTTATCCCTTATTTTTTGTCAATAAAGTTACTGAAATCTTGTGAATTCAATGTTACAAAGTTAGGTGGGGGCAAAATTGGGATTAAACCAGGCATTCTGAATTATGGAACAGTGTCTTTACCATCTTATGAAAGTCCTTAAATAAGTTGCGCCATTTTTGGTTTTCTCCTTTTCAAAAAGGAATGGAGAGTTTTTCCCAATATAATAGACATGATGCTCCTTCTACAAGCATTATGTGTATGGAAAATCCAAACATTTCTATATCAAAAAAATGGAGATACATCAGAAACCACCCTGATAAATTAGCCAGTCTTTGAGAAACTGGTTGTATACACATTCTAGGATTGCTTCCAAACTGAACAAGATAATTTATTGTTCAATTCATTAGCTATACAAACTCCAACTCTGCATTGGTGGACACTGAAGTTAAATAAAGGAGACATTACAAGTTGATTGTATTCATAGCCTACACTGGTAGTCTAAATGTGAAGCTTCTGATTGGATTGAAGAAGGGTGAGGGAAAGACTTTAATAGTAGTGCCTTTTTATCCCGGCCTTTTTTTTTTTCATTGTTTGTTTATTTTCAAGAGAGAGACAGAGAGACAGCACGAGCAAGGGAGGGGCAGAGGGAGAGAGGGAGACACAGAATCCAAAGCAGGCTTCAGGCTCTGAACTGTCAGCACAGAGCTCAATGTGGGGCTTGAACCCACAAACCGTGAGATCATGACCTAGGCTGAAGTCGGACACTTAACCAACTGAGCCACCCAGGTGCCCCCCTCCTTTTTTTTTTAGTCAAGTTGAGCAGGATTTTGCCAGTCCAGCCAGTAGAAAGGCATTCTGACAAAAGAGAAGGCAAAGTACACAGTGTGGTAGATTGACAAGTAAGCTGCTTGTAGCTAGAATATACTTTTCGTGTGAATAGCAGTGATACGAAATTAAACTGGATCGGTGGGAAGCAAATTGTGAGGTCAGTTTCTAATTATTATAGAAATAAGAAACTAAGAAGTTTGGATAGCCTGTAAGAGACCATTGGGGTTTTTAATGAGAGTGGGAGATAATAACATGATAGGGATCTATGTTTTTAAAGCTCATAGTAGCAGTTCAAAAGAGAAAGAATTACAAAATTTATCTTAACACACAAAAATTATATTTTGGAATCTGATCATGATCACAGAGGTTTCTTCTCTTTATAAATTCATGAGATTTCTTCCTTCTTACCTGTCTTTTTTTTTTTTTTTTTTTTTTTTTTTTTTTTTTTTTTTAATTTTTTTTTCAACGTTTATTTATTTTTGCGACAGAGAGAGACAGAGCATGAACGGGGGAGGGGCAGAGAGAGAGGGAGACACAGAATCGGAAACAGGCTCCAGGCTCTGAGCCATCAGCCCAGAGCCTGACGCGGGGCTCAAACTCGCGGACGGCAAGATCGTGACCTGGCTGAAGTCGGACGCTTAACCGACTGCGCCACCCAGGCGCCCCATTACCTGTCTTTACCAATATTGCTTTGTTGTCTTAAATATCCTCCAAGTCCCAGATCAAATATCAACTCTTCTGGAATAATCTCTCCTCCCAAATAAGTGCCATTTCTGAATTTCTTGATTCTAAATATCAATCCTCAATCTATTTCCTGGCCTACATCTTTTGGATCTAAAAGAGCCTTGGGGCGCCTGGGTGGCTCAGTTGGTTGAGCATCCGACTTTGGCTCAGGTCATGATCTTGTGGTTCGTGAGTTCGAGCCCCGCGTAGGGCTGTGTGCTGACAGCTCAGAGCCTGGAGCCTACTCCGCATTCTGTGTCTCCCTCTCTCTCTGCCCCTCCCCCATTCATGCTCTGTCTCTCTCTGTCTCAAAAATAAGTAAAACATTTAAAAAAATTGTTTTTTTTTAATTTTTTTTTTTTTTCAACGTTTATTTATTTTTGGGACAGAGAGAGACAGAGCATGAACGGGGGAGGGGCAGAGAGAGAGGGAGACACAGAATCGGAAACAGGCTCCAGGCTCTGAGCCATCAGCCCAGAGCCTGACACGGGGCTCGAACTCGCGGACCGCGAGATCGTGACCTGGCTGAAGTCGGACGCCTAACCGACTGCGCCACCCAGGCGCCCCAAAAAAATTGTTTTAATAAAAAACATAAAAGAGCCTTTATTTTTGGAAATATTTTTAGTTTCAAAAGTCAGAGACCATTTTCTTTGGCTATTATTATCTTAAAAAGCAGGAAAAGGGACATCCAGTCTTACATTTGTTAACCAACCAATTTCTATCCAAACTAATGACTTACAATTGATGATAGGACAAAAACAGTAAAAGTATTTTATCCAAAGGTGTGTAGGTATGAGGAATTCTTGAGGCTCAACTATGCAAAGAATGACTGAAGTGTCATCTTTGTGGAGGGTCAGTGTTTTTTCTCAGTATCCAGTTTCCTCAATTTTAGATACTACTTTGTAACAAACCCGTGAATGAACTGATCATTTTTAAATGTTTACTTTAAAACCCTGTGACACTTGTCAGTTCTGTCATCTGTTCCACTGATTTCCTTTTCAACTTTCATCTTTCAAAATGAAAATTAATTTCTTTACTAGCTGGTACTTCTGAAGATGTTTTAATTTGCTGACCCGCCCACCAGAACTCTCCTTAGCTGGGAACCTTATCTTTCAGAAATATGGCCAAGAACCAGGAAGAAAATAAAAAAGGACATCTGGCATATAAAATAAAGGCCACACAGGCCATGGGCTGAAATTCCTTTTCTTTGCTCTGTGGAGACTCTTTTAAGATCTTACCAAGAACCTTTTGAAATACTGTTCTTTGAGGTTTAGTTTTTTTGATTTCTCAACCAATAGCAGAAAAATAGTTAACTGGTTAGAGGAGAGCATGCTGCTAGAGATGAGTATGCCCAACAGTAAGAAATGATAGCTGACAAGCTGGCAAAAAACACAAGAATATCTGTAAAGTATACATAAGACCTCAAAGCAAACCTGTGTAAGCTCTTAACATTAACATAAGGATCAGCATTCTTGTACACCTTTATAGTACCTGAAGACATCACTGCATTTCAGTTTAATTTAAATGGTATTTATGCTTTAATGTCCTTGAGTCATCATAGAAGATTTACTTGTATGTTCACTACATTCTGGTAAAGAAGGTAGAGTAATACATGGTAGGCATATTTCCATCCAAAGGGGTTAAAATTAAAATTTGCAGCCATCTAAAATCTCAGCCATCCGAAGCTCTGCATTCCCTGAGGGTTTCATACATATATTCTGGGTGGTAAGTTCCCACTTAATTCTTTCTGTGCTCTAAATGATTATTACATCAGAACAAGTTTGACAGATTAGTTTTTTACGGTGTAGATGCTCTCAAAGTTCAGTATAAGTTTATTAAGCTTTAGAAATTCTAGAAGTTTAATGATTTCATCTTACTGTACCTTTCTTGAATGGATTTTCCACTGTATTCCTTTCAATAGGTTTATAGATATTTCTTTTTCCCTTAGATTGGTCGGTCAACTGAAAGTCCAATTGATTTTGTAGTAACTGACACAGTTCCCGGAAGCCAAAGTAATTCTGATACACAGTCCGTGCAAAGCACTATATCAAGGTTTGCCTGTAGAATCATATGTGAACGGAATCCCCCCTTTACAGCACGGATTTATGCTGCAGGATTTGACTCATCAAAAAACATCTTCCTTGGGGTAAAAAGCTGTTTTCCTAAATGATGTGTTATTTTATAACCACTTCTGTTTCCAATTTACAAATAAATGGAAGTTCACTATTCTTACTGCTACTAGGAGAAGGCTGCCAAATGGAAGACATCAGATGGGCAGATGGATGGTTTGACCACTAATGGCGTTCTTGTTATGCATCCACGCAATGGGTTCACAGAAGACTCCAAGCCTGGAATATGGAGAGAAATATCAGTGTGTGGAAATGTGTTCAGCCTGCGGGAAACCAGATCAGCTCAGCAGAGAGGAAAAATGGTAAGTATTGAGATGTAGTTTCTTACCTAGGTACAGTAAACTGTACCTAAGGTGAGTTAGACTGAATGTATTACGTATTTACAAAAACTCTTTTTTCTTTTTTTAAGTTTATTTATTTTGAGAGAGAGAGAGCATGAGCAGGGGAGGGGCAGAGAGAAGGAGAGAGAGAATCCTAAGCAGGCTCCATGTTGTCAGTGCAGAGCCCGACACAGGCCTTGACTCTACAAATTTTGAGATCATGACCTAAGCCGAAATCAAGAGTCAGATGCTTAACCAACTAAGCCACCCAAGGGCCCCTCCAAAAACTCTTAAATCTCTTGCTGACACAAGTCTGACTATAAAACACGGACTACTAAATATTATACTAGAGGATAATATCTGAATGTTTTAATCAAGACACTTGAAAAATTTATTCTTTCATATCATGTTAATATGTTTTAAAACCTAAGCTTTCCTAAGTTAAATAGCACTGTGATTTTCTATTTGTATCTATATCTCTTCGATCATGACATATATTGGAAATATTAGACTTACTGATGAGCCACATGTTTTAATCATCTATCGTCTTTACCATAAGGCTGAAAAGAAATCTGTTCCTGCTCAATATTTTACCTTTGGTTTTCAAACTTACATTTTTCATGACTACCATTAGAGTTTCTTCTATTTAGTAACAGTCATAGGAAATCTCAGTTCTTGAGTAAGGAGCATGTAAGACCAAAACTTTCACGTGAAAATTGAAAACACAGTGGTGAATGTGTTTTTTGATTCTTGTTTCCTCTAGGTGGAAATTGAAACCAATCAATTACAAGATGGCTCGTTAATTGACCTCTGCGGTGCAACATTGCTGTGGCGTACTGCAGAAGGCCTTTCCCACACTCCTACAGTGAAGCATTTAGAAGCTTTAAGACAGGAAATCAATGCAGCACGACCTCAGTGCCCTGTCGGGTTCAACACACTAGCGTTTCCTAGTATGAAGAGGAAAGATGTTGTTGATGAAAAACAACCATGGGTATATCTAAACTGCGGCCATGTGCATGGCTATCATAACTGGGGAAACAAAGAAGAACGTGATGGAAAAGATCGTGAATGTCCCATGTGTAGGTCTGTTGGTCCCTATGTCCCTCTGTGGCTTGGATGTGAAGCTGGATTTTATGTGGACGCCGGCCCTCCAACCCATGCGTTCAGCCCATGCGGGCATGTGTGTTCAGAAAAGACAACTGCCTATTGGTCCCAGATCCCACTTCCTCATGGTACTCATACTTTTCACGCAGCCTGCCCCTTTTGTGCACATCAGTTGGCTGGTGAACAAGGCTACATCAGACTTATTTTCCAAGGACCTCTAGACTAACAGACAGTTGTCCTCCAGGACTACATTATAAATTTATAAGCTAAGTGAGTTGGGTTTTCCAACCTGTTGTCCATGTCACAGTTTCTCTGCTCTGGTCATTTGCATTAAGATGAAGAATTTTTTTAAACATTTATAATAAATAGCAACAATTTCTGATAAAAAAATCTGGGAAACTCAAGAAAAGAATTTCTGAAAGTACCAGACTTCTGAATTCTGAGTTTTGAAAATCTATTTTGAGGATAAAAAGACATAGTCTAATTTGTTGCCTTCCTTTTAGTGTTTTTGAATCACCCATCCTCAGTGTTGAAAAATTGTTTTATATAACTGAGGGTACTGTTGGTTCAAACTATGTTAGTTTACAGTTTGTTGCAAACATTGTAAAATACAGCAACGTGTATATTAACTTTTTTCTATTTATCTTTATTATAGAAAATATCTTAGAATGTTCTTGATAGAGTAGCATGGTAACGATGGTGTCACACTCTTGGTGTGAATGGTAGTTTAGCGAGTATAGCTCAAGGATTTGCAAGCTTAGAAAGAAGGACAAGAGAGCCTCTCCCCACCCCCCCTCTAAATATGGAATTTGGTAAATTAGAATACTTTGTAAAACCAAATTCATATTAATTACTATTGTATAAGAGCTGTTTGTTTTTAACCACGTTGAATATAATCAGGAAAGTTCTTTTTCTTAATGTTTCTCTCAAGTGTAGTATATAACGAAAACTTAATGCTAAGAAACATTTTATATGCTCCGTTGAATATGCAATTTAATCTAGATTATCTATTTTTCTCCCATGATAACTAATCTGTTTTTAGTACCAGCAACATTTGGCAAGTTTATTTTTTAGATATAAACTGTGGTTCATCTGTTCACTGTTTCTAGAAAAAAATCATTCTCATGAGAAAAAGCATAAATTAACAAGGAAGAGAGTGACTTGATTTGCTTTTAGAAAAAGAAATGCTTAACTAATTGATTATTCTGTATGTGGTCTTACCCAGGCATTAAGAAATCTAGAAAGAGATAAAGGGTTGAATGACAACAGTGCCCCCTTTTTTTTAACCTAGCAGACCAGCCTTAACTGTGTGGGCTTTGAATTCTAAGGAGAGTTGCCACCGTGTGACTCGAGGAAATGTTTGGTTGGCAGATGAGCACCAGTGACAGCCGAGTAGAGGAACATACTTGCACGGTATGTTTATTCTCTAATTCCAATGAGTTCTTTGCTTCAAGAAGCAAGAAAATGTTTCTTCACTCCCTCCCCTCCCCTTTTCATAATGTACCACAAGGGACGCATAGACAGTTGCACTACATCAAACCCTTTGTGACCTTGTAGAAATAGTACACTTTTAGATTAGACAGGATCTTTTTTTTTTTTTTTAATCTTCTGATTTGTGTTCCTTTAGTTTGAAAGTTGCGTAATACTTAATTGACTCTAGCAAATTTTTGTATGTGGTAGTATAGCTTTAATTTATCATAACTATTACTATGCTGTTCTGAATTTTCTTTTAGTTTAAAAAAAAAAAAAAACCTGTTGCTTAGAAGCCATGAACTATTTTTACTTTAATTGAACTTGTCAGAATTTCCTTGTTTTTAAAAATGATCATTTGGGTTCACTCAGGAAATGCATGTCAGGAAACTTGTATTATAAGTTTACTAGTTGTGATGTATCAGTAACTGCTGTTATCCCCTTTTCAAAGAAATATAATTGATTTTGAAGTTTTCCACATAGTCACATGCTTTGTGACTAATGCAAGGAAATCAAGTCCTGTGTTGTATTTGTTCTAGTCATTTCTATTCAGGCTATATATTGTAGCTAATTTTTATTTGCAATTAATTTATTCAAACTAAGTAAATACTTTTCAAAATAGATACTTGAATTTGTCTCTGTGAGTTCATTATTGCATAACCGAGAATGGGAAACCAGACACAAAAACTTGTGGACAAATCTACCTCTCCCCCACTTCAAAAATACTCACTTTAAATAGGTGAAGAATTTGCATTTAATGTAACACTTTAAATCGCTGGTCCTCTTGGGAAAGCATCTCTTACTTATTAATAAAGGAACTTTGTGTAGTGGTTGAATAATTGAGGCTTTAGTTAAGTCCTGCTGAGAGTTGGCTCTTTGCAAGTTGAATACTAGACTGTTTACACAGTGCCTCGATGTCCATGAAAGGTCCACGTTCTTCTCAAAGTGCCTGAATTTTCTCCTCCCAACTATGAAAAGTCTGATTCATTTTCTATCAAATTTAAGTTTTGAAAACTCAGGCTATTTAAATCATTAGGTGTTTTTCTGTTCAAGCATTTTGAATATTGGTTCCGTCATTCTGCCTATATCTAATGAAACACTTTTACTTACTCAGTTGTATTAAGGGAATGTCAGTATTCTGGCCAAGGAGAAAAGTTGCATTTAGGTCTCCCAAAGGTAATCTTTATGGCTTAACTCTTTTAAGAAAGTGATCTAATTATCTAAATACTTCCTTAATTTGTATAGGGAATTTCCCTTCATCTAACATTTTAGGGTCATGAAGCAAGAAAGAGTAAATATCCAGAAGGAGGAGTCTTTTACCAGGCTATCTTCCTGAAGCTGTAATTGCTTACTTCCATCATTTAAAAAACATGCTGACACATGCAAAATAGTATAGGGGTAAATAATCATGTAAATAAATCTATAATTACATCTAACATGAATACTGCTACTCTACTCTTCCCTCAGGATACCTCAAGAACCATGTGTGATGCATGACCTTCTGACATATAGACTGAGCAAGTGAGTGAGGGCACCAATGAAAATCCATCCATTATTTCTTTAAATTTATAAGATAAATATAATTTTAACACTTTGGCCCCTCATTGTGATGGATCATTTTGTGGTATCCCACCTTAGAGACCACTGGCTAAAAGATGGGTGATCCATTCTTTGGTGTTTATGTTCTAAGCATTAACCCGGTAGCAAATGGGATTATCAAAATACTGCTTACTGAACTGCATTATTCTTTCTGTCTCCTACTCCCACTTTCAGAAGTAAGTATGCTTTTAGTCCATGCCCTCAAGTTTTATCCACGAATTCTTGCAACAGATATTTGAATATCTACTATGCACCAAGCCTTGTTCTAAACTTTGGGTGATTTAACAAGAAAAAAAAATCCCTGCCTTCACGGAGCTCATATTTTAGTGGGGAAGATAGAAATGAGTAAGAAAAATAGAAGATACAGCATGATAGATAGTGAAGAGTGTTGAAGGGACAAATAAAGCAGGGAAGGGAGATACAAAATGTTTTATGTGATGTGTGTGGAATGTTTGCAGTATTAAGTAGGAAGGCAAGGGAAAGCCACATCTAGGAGATTATTTGGGCAGAAGAAGTAGCAATTGCAAAAATCTTGAAGTAAAAGTGTGCTTGGAATATTTCTGTAATAGCAAAACACCAGTGTAGCTATATAGTGTGAAAGGCCAAAAAGGAAAAGTGATAGAGATAAGTGGGGTGTGGGGATGAAACTAGATCATGAGGGGCCTCCTGAGGCTTGGCTTTTATTCTCAGTGAGACGGGGGCATTAGGAGAATTTTGAGCAAGGAAGTGACATGATCTGACTTCTATTTTAATAGATGCAAATAGACCAAAGTGATAGTGGGGAGACCAGTTAGACCATCACAGTAACCCTGGAAGGAAATGATGGTGGCATGGATCAAAGTGGTGGCAATGGGGCTGGTTTGAAAAGTGGACAGAATCAGTATATTTTGAAGGCAGAGCTGACAATATTTGCTGGCAGATCAAACATGGGTTGTGAAAGAAGAGGAGTCAATGACTCGGCTCATCTAGCCTGAGCAACTAGAAGAATAGAATTACTGTTTGAAGTGGAGATTATGAAAATAAAAGTTTGGGGGGAGGGTGTATTGCTTGTGGGATCAGGAACTTAGCCTTGGACGGACGTTAGATGGAGACTCCCTGTTAGACAAGTTATTTGCCAAAGGTAAACTGTCTCTGCTTTTTCAAGGTGCTGTCAAAGTTCTTAAACCATCATGATCAATGTTCTCCATATACACTGTGCTACCTTAGAAACAAAAAAGTACTTCTGATTAATGGCAAACTTCCTTTCACTGAAATAGAGAGTCGGGACACCTCTCATGGTTCTCTTTGTTTCAGCTGCCTTCTGAGGAAATGAAGTTCTGTTTTCAACTACAGTAACTTCCTTTAGCCAATGTATCCCAATACAGTTTTTCTCCCTTCTCATTCATGTACATCTTTTTCCTTAGGTCTTGCCTTAAAAAAAAAAAAAAAAAAAAAGTCCTATTTTATTGAATCTTAATATGTTGCTGCTTCAAATTCTTACCGTGGCAAAGCACAAGTTGTGTTTGGTTTTTTAAAATCTTTTTAATATGCAGGTGTTGATGGAAAACAAAGAATTCTTGAACCTCTCTCTAAGTCCAGCTTCCCTTAAAGAAATAAGCTTGTATTTGATAATACTGTCAGCAAAAAATGGAGTAAATAAGATAAGAGTTTTCCTAGTGAGTGTTGTAAAGCATCACATCCAAATCCAAACATTCTCTTAAGTAGTATGATGCGAATGCTGGTGTCTTCAGGCTGACATTAGATTGTAAATTCAGCTATGTATGTTAAACCACAGCGTAAAATAAACCCTCACAGCTAACATTTGAGTATTTGTTATGTGTCAAGCTCTGTTCTAAATATACAGTTTTAAGTATATTAATTAAAGCTCAAAACAGCCCTGTGAGGTAGGAACTCTTGTCTCCTTTTCACAACAAAAACCAGGCACAGCATTATCTAGGAACTTGCCCGAGGTTCATATGGCTCATGAGTGCAAGAGTTGGAATTTGAACCTTGGAAGTCTTGCTCCATACCTGTGTATGCAACTACCATATTTGCTCCTTCCCCCTTTTTCACTGAGTGGGATCTGAAGTCTATGTCTTGCACAGTTTTTAAAAAATGATTTCAGGTAGCAAACCAAAATTGTAACTAGGAAGATTAAACATCAGCAAAATTTTGTAA